CAGGATTAATACAGCGTTAGGACCCAAAGATAACCTGCTAACCAATGTTAAAAAAAAGTAAACTCAAACCCTATGGCCACATCGCAAGACCTTCCTTCAGGGAACAGCACCAGAAAGAAGAGGAAGACAGAGAAAGCGATGGGAAGACAATATCAAAGAACTGACATGCTTTCAATGAATGAAATTCTATCCAAGGCAGAGAGGAATGGAGAAAGACGGTTGACAGTTCTTGTATGGTGCTCCATCGGTCCAAAAGACTAAGGGATTAGGTGAATGGGAAGAAAGCTGATCAGTTCAATCTAGAGACTTACTAACGATTTGGTTTTGCATTTTGTCTTCTACGTGTTCTCATTCTTTTCTTGAACTCTTTCTACAACTAAAGTCAAACCTCAAGATGTTTCGTGCCAAAATCAACTGAATGGGGGAAGGCTCAACATACAATGCAGCACTCTTAAAGTATTCCCAGAAGCTGTTTGTGTCATTCGGGTGTCAGACTATGCAGTAGGTATATTTTCAGCATGTACAAATTAATATTTTATCAATATCAATATTATTGGTTTAAAGAAGGTTGTTAGATTATATATTTAATAATAGTAATAATATGTATATATATGTATATATATATATATATATATATATATTTATTTATTTATTTATTTATTTATATATATATATATATATATATATATATATAGATAGATAGAGAGAGAGAGAGAGAGAGAGCGAGAGAAAGAGGGAGAGAAATAGATAGATACATAGATAGATAAATAGATAGATTCATGGATAAAGAGAGAGAGAGAGAGTTTGTGAGAGAGGCAGAAAGACACACAGACAGATAAGAAAGAGGGAGAAACAGAGTGTCATTGAGAAAGAGAAAGGGAGAGAGAGAGAAAAAGAGACAGAGATAGTTATCCTTAAGAGATTTTTTTACACATTGTCTCTATACACTTTTACAAAATAAGAGTCATATCTATCTTGTTAGAGCTCTGCCAAGCAGGAACTAAGTACCAAGCACACACACGAAATGTTTTTGGAAGGGAACGACTCTTATATTCGCTCAGCTTGTCACATATCAATAGACCTGTCCACTATGTACCTAAAAGACTTAGATGTCGACATCACAATGTATCCAAACGTTACAAATACATTGGACGACTTGAACTATGGAGCAGTCAAGTCATTGCACTATAAACTAATAAGTAAATCCTTATACAAATTGTTTTCTTAAGTCAACATTATATTAAGCACATTTCGTGTAGTGAAGAAACACATGCATTCCATATAAGCCTTTGCATAGCATTAATTAGTTTTAAACTATTGATTAGCTTACAAAAATCGTCTTTTGTTAAATTGCATTAAAATGCTCTCTACAAAGGCAATCAAAATGATTTACTGTAACTTTATGATATATTGTAGATGCAGAGACACCTCTTCCAAGAGACTGTCTAGAACTACAGATAAATGAAACTCACGTACTCTGTGCTTATGGGGATATCTTTGATACTGTACCAGAAGCAGAAGGCGTGACTAGGAAGTTTGACCTTCCATTGGAGAACTCCAAGACTGACATCATACCAACGACCTTTATAGCAGAAGGTTGGTATTAAACGTTTCGTGCTATGAAATAATTTTTGCTGACCCATGGCTTTTCTATTTAAAATATATTACTCATGAACACATTGTAAAGCCGTTACTAGAATAATAATAATCATTAAAAACAAACTATTGTCTTATCAATGAGTCCGAGGACTAAGAAAAAGTGTAGAATTTAACGTACCTCTAGAACTATAATGAACATATTTTTTCTCACGCAGACAATTTTCTGCTAAAACCATAAAAATGTACGTATATGTCTCCTTCTGTCTCGGAAGACAATGAATGCGCCCAGATGAGTCACTGGTTTTTTGGTTTCGTCTTGAGACGAGGCAGAATCTGGATTGACTGATCAAGCCATTACTGAAGCGACAGACTTTGCCACAGTTCGTGCCACAGTATATGCATCTGTTTAAGGGTTATCTGATAGGGCAGCTTTCTATTTTTTTTTTTCTCTTGACTAAGGCACCTTCGTTTCATTAACTCTCAGCAAAGTTCCATAAAAATGTATCAAAACAAAGGACTATAACAACTAATCATAACAAAAGACCATAACATGTATGTTAATATAATAATATTGATATTGATCAAATATTAATTTGTACATGCTGAAAGTATACATACTGCATAGTCTGACACCCGAATGACACAAACAGCTTCTGGGAATACTTTAAGAGTGCTGCATTGTATGTTGAGTCTTCCCCCATTCAGTTGATTTTGGCACGAAAGATAACATACAAAAGACTATTGCAATTTATCATGTACGAACCAACGTGACAAAGTGCTGTGTTTTAATATATTTCTGTTTTTAAATTCCTGTCATGCTTTGATTATGTTAATTGCGCTATGGTCCAAACTTTAAAGTAGACAACTTGGAGAGTGGGTACCTGGGAGAATGCCTTTAGGCGCTTAGCAAACTCAACTAAGCCTGAGTCGGTATTTGAACTTAAGCCCCCTTTTTAGGTATCAAAGTTGTAGATATCCGCTTAAGGCTTCTAGGGTGTTTTTAGGCTTCTCGGGCTTTTCCCATCTGTACCATCTCTGCGTATTAATGTGTTGTCCATTCTATTGTTTGCATGAGTAGAACAAATGGAAAGTGCAGCTTAGTTAGTAAATGAGATTAAGAATATTTTAAAACATTTCTATAATGTGAACTAAACAGGTGTGCTAGGGAGTTGTGAGCTCCATACCATTGAAGATGTTTTCGTTACCTGCTTTGTAAAACACACAGTTAATCAAAAAGTTGCAAGCCAGCTAATGATACTAAATGAAATGGTATGAAACAAGATTAGTTAAGGACAATATCGAGAGGGTTAAATTTTAAATAATAATAATAATAATAATAATAACAGGTTTCATTTAAAATAAAGCTATTTCAAATCAATCCGAAATAAATATTAATGACATTTTTTTCATATATGTTGAATTACAGTATGTGGAAGTTTTAACAGCTGACGAAACATCAACATTCTTAAATTATGATTCGATTGAAGAAGATCAAAATGTCTACGAGACCACCTACAGGTTTAACATTGGACAAAATCTGTTACGTTCCGATGTTACAACCATCACTGTGACTTTAAATACTTTGGGAGATGAGAAGACGTTTGTGAAGAATATTACATTCGTTATGAAGTCTGGTGAGATGTCTATTATAGATGTTTTACAGCCAATTCACTGATATATATTTGCTAACATTTAGCACCATATTAAAACAACTAGATAGATAGATAGATAGTTAGATAGATAGATAGATAGATATATAGATAGAGATAGATAGATAGATAGATAGATAGATAGATAGATAGATAGATAGATAGATAGATAGATAGATAGATAGATAGATAGATAGTAGATAGATAGATAGATAGATAGATAGATAATTATTATAAACAATTTATATAGATCAACCGTGAAATGTTCTCTTCAAGAAAGATTCTTTTTTTTTAAATCTAGATTAATTGATAGAAATTATTAGTTTAAACTAATTGCTATTTTTCTTTCGACAGAAAAAACAAGTAATGAAATATCATCTGCCTACTTGGATATGGTGATAATTTCTTGCAGCATAATATTTGCATTCCTTATTCTTGTTTGCATAATGTTTGGTACGTTTAGGTTCTGACTATGCATAATTTTGTTACAACTGTTTTTAGCGGCCCTCAAAAGGAGAAAAGACACTACTAGTTTTGTGTGGAATGTCTATCCGTCCGTCTGTCCGTCTGTCCCGTTTAGAACTCGTAAACTAGAAAAGATAGTGAAAATATGACATCATAATATTTTGTACCATTCAAAGTTCTGATGCAACGTCTACTATTTTCCTTTTCTGAAAGCGAAAAATCTAATTTTTTAATCACTTACGCAAGCAGTCTTTTCATAGAAATACACCACTTTTACAACTAGTCACTATTAATAGTTACAAACACGGAAGGCTCTTTATTAGGAGTGATTACAATTCACCATATTTTTGAACAAATTTATGCAAACAGTTGTAGATTTTTTTGTCAATTTTTTTTTAACATTTACCTTGTTAAGTTATGTAAGTTCTGCTTTAATAATTACTATATTTACATACAATTTTTACTAAATTTTAAAGAGAAAAAAACTATTTAGGACATAATTTAAAACAACAATTAATAAGTAGGTTATCATATTTTCGTGTCAACTATAGTATACCACTACTTTGGAGCACCTAACCAAAGGAGAAATTTTTTTTTTACGAAATGTTTTTTTTTTCTTGAGGAATAAGAGATTGACCCTTTACAAAACAATTAGATCAAATAGATATTCTTTATAAGTCATCAGTCAGGCCAGGTTCACATCTAACTTCACATTCACTTTCGCTTATCCTTTTCGCTGCTGAACCGCTGGGGCACGACACAAGATCTGTTAACCTTTTGTCTCCATTCTTCTCTGTCATTTGTCTGATAGAATTTCATTCTGGTAATATTGAAACCTGCCTTTTTTTTTAACTGCCTGGGTGGACCACTTTGGGGGCCGATTTTCCGTTTGTGTTTCAAACACCTTGTTAAAACTGTTAATATAGTTCTTTTTTTTTAAGTTCTAATATAATATTAAATGTTCTAATAATACAATGTAAAATATAGTAACTTTTACTAAAGCTTTTAATATAAATGTAAAATTAAATTACTATTACGTTTAATACAAATTCGAATATAATTTATACAAACTTTGATTTAAAAATGTAATGTTTATTTTACAATTTAGCCCGAAATAAATTTCAACATTCAAATATTGAGATACTTACAATTGTAGCTATTTAGGCTCAACATTTATTGAATCTTTGTTTCCCCAGTACTCTGTAAAAGGTTACGGAAGCACGACACTTACAAAGACAACCATTTCTATGAAGAAATTACTAACTCGGAGCAGCAGAGGCCAGTTCCTACCTCTATTTGATTTATATGTTTGTTAGTATTTCTTATATTACATAAGTAGAATCATTCTAATTGAAGGTTATTTTCAGACTTCCACACAGACCTGAAACTACCTCGTAGATTTGTCACATATTTTAAAACGTTTTGTCCAATACCTCGAATCAAAAGAATATCTTTGGAACTATACAAAATTGCAGAGAACAATGGTATTCTTAGATATAGATATATATAGGCTTATTGTACAATGCAGTATCAAAAGTCATTTTTGTTTCGAGTACAAAGTTATATCTAGTTGTGAGTTGTCGTATTTGTCATTTAATGAACATAAATCTATTTATATTTCCTAACAATCAATTTCAATCATTTACTTCAATTAAAAATATTTCAGGATTAAAAAATAATAATTTTAGCTTAATGTTAGAAGCTGTTTTTTTTAAATTTATTTCATAATTATTTTTTTTGTTTTCATAATGTTTTTTTTCTGTCGTATGCTTACTAGTCACGTGTGCTTGCAGACTACCGAGCTCAGGATGTTGTTCTAATGTGTTACTCTACTGTCAAACCTAACAGGAAATTGAATGGACATTGAAAATGCATCCCATTGATGCTGGTGAATGAAGGAAGCGTCTATCTTCTTTAGCTACTTTTCTGTTAGTAGGGTCGTTTATAGCTTTTTATGTAGGTGTAAACTCGTGACAATTCAAAACATGTATGCAGTGTACAGTTCCTAAGCTGTTTGTCCGTCTGTCACGTTCTTGTGTTCTTGTACTTATCAAACTATTATAAGATATTTCAAATGTGAATATTTATTTAAAATTAATATTATTTCAATGTGTATTATTGTTATTATTTTCTGAACTTGTAATATTTTGGCCCATGTTGATAAATAACAATAAAAAGTTATTCCAGTGATATACTTAAAAATGAATTAATGTATGATGAATGATAATAATAGTATCAATATCAATAGATATTTGTGTAATAATATGTAATCTAAAATGATCCAGTTATTCTCTTTGCGACATATAAATGATCATTATTTGAACAATATCATTACCTTAATATATTCATTACAAATTGTTCAAATAGACTTCTAACACAACAACTGGTAATCCACATAGATCTAGCCACTAGATCCGATACTGTTCACTGACGACTATTCTAAAAGTTTATAGTTCATACTATAACATCAGGTCTGACCAAGGCAGCCCGCAGTCTGGAATCTTGAACCTCAGACTCATGAAAAACCAACTTGAACACCAGACGACCAACTGAGATTAGTGAGATGAAGACCTCAGTCCTGTAGACTGTAGACCTAAAGTTGTACTCTCAATATAGAAAATTAAGACTGGATAAACAAGTCTTGACACCAAGACTTTACACTGAGTCTAACACATAGACTTGACACCAAGCTAAGATCACTACTTAGGCTTGACGCTAAAACTTGAAATAGAGTCTTGAACTAAGACTACGACCAAAACTTAGACTTGTCGTTAAAACCTCTAAACAGGGGTCAAGATAATCCAACAAGAAAATGTCCAAGGCAAATGTTAAGGCTATCCAGTAACAATAACCAAGGAGAAATTCAAGAGCTCTCAATACACGTCTATCTGTACCAACGTACAAAACAATGGAGAGACTGTACTAGACGATAAATGACGCAAACCACACACACCTAACTTTACGTCACTAGAAGTTGTGACAAGCAACAAAAGCTCAGTCCCCTAGTCTACACAGTAAAATATTAATAGTGTAATGACGTCATCAATATAGTGATCAACGCCGCACTATCAATTAGAGAAATAATTCTACTATACAGTTACATAGATAACTCCGACACCGTCCGTGTGTCGTTTTCGCTTGATAATTTGTCATCTCGCTTCAATTCATCTTAGCATGTGGTCCCGACTTGGGCATAGGCCACCAACCAGCTTTCTCCAGGCATCTCAGTTCCGGGCGAGTTTTTCCAGCTGTCCCCCGACTAACTTGGCATGTGCTTCTATATCACTGCGCCATGTATTCCTGGGTAGTCCTCTCTTTCTCTTTCCTTGGGGGGTTCTAGAAGACGGCTAGCCTTTTTGTGTTGGGCTCAGGCTTGCGAAGGGTGTGACCTATCCGTCTCCAGTGTCTCTGAAGGATATCTGCCTCAGTGTGCTGCTGCTTTTTTCTTTTTTTTTCCACAGATCTCATATGAGATCTTGTCTGGCCACGCGGATCATAAAAATCTTCTTGAGGCAAGTATTGATGAATACCTGAGTTCTTTTAATTATGCCATTAAAAAATTGTAATAGAATAAAATTGCTAGCCTAAAATAAACTTCCTGTCACACTTTTAATTTAAGTATACATATAAGATACAATACAAAAAAAATTCAATATTTCTTCCAAACTTCTTTGATGGAACATAGCTATTTATAGTGTGTTTGTTTTAACTCGTTTGTTTTATTACATAAAGTTAAACTGCTAATGCACTGATAGGTTTCGAATTATTTATCTTTAACCCACGATCACGGAGCATATATATGAGGCGCGGTGGCTGAGCGGTAAAGCGCTTAACTTCCGAACCGGGGACCCGGGGTTCGAATCCTGATGAAAACTGGGATTTTTAATTTCGGGATCTTCGGGCGCCTCTGAGTCTACCCAGCTCTAATGGGTACCTGACATTAGTTAGGGAAAAGTAAAGGCGGTTGGTCGTTGTGCTGGCCACATGACACCCTTGTAGGCCACAGAAACAGATGACCTTTACATCATCTGCCCTATAGACCACAAGGTCTGAAAGGGGAGCTTTACATTTCTTTACGTAGCATATATACTGGTCGTTTTACATGATACAATAGTTTGTGACAACTATAGAGAATAAAATAAAATCGTTAACTGGTTTCCATTATTTAGCGTCACAAAAACATACGGACTATTATGTTCACGTTGATTATCCTTTAATATAGCAACAAACAAGTTGGTGATTGTCAGGGTGGGATTTCAGATTAGCTAGGGTATGATATTATGGTCCCGTACCCTAACCTGAACAGAGTAACGCAAGAACCTAAAGGCAACAGCAATGTACAGTATTTAACAATAAGATTGTACGTTTAACAATTTAATGAATATATGATATGATGAAGCGTACATTATGAATAATTATCAATAACATTTATAAAGCAATTCAAAGTACATTCAGAGGAACTATAGCACACCTTAAGCTCGGTGCCATAGTCGATCAGGCCTCTCAACACCAACTCAACGCCACGGGCACTAGTCAACTACCAAGCCTACAGCTCAGACTTGACTCCAGCAGAGTCCCAAGCCGGCGTCCCTAGATAAGAAAAATACACCCTCTTTTGAGACCGCCATTCTCACGATTATAAGAGCAACGATTTTAGATCTACGACATGTAGAAGATAGTAAAATAATCTAACTTACCCAATACAGGGGAAGAAAACCCATACAAGAAACTCACAGGAGGTCTAGCCTCATCACACAACAGCAGCAAACACAAGTAAGCAAAAATGACATCTACAAAAGCGCGTTCCTAGAAACCAAAACCCACAATCTCTTCTGGTACACAAAGGGAAACACCAAAAGAAGATGCGCATGACAGTGATTAGATCCTATCTGGCCTGAAAATACTTTGTTGTTATTGAACAGGTGGAGGGGTACCACATTTTTGATACAGAAAAAACAAACGAAAAATAATCAGTATTATTTATTTTAGAGAGACACTGCATCTAGTTACAGTCTATTTAGCACAGAACCTTCAGATAGAAATAATATACAAAGTTTTAGAAATTAGTGCAATGCTATATTAAAATCTTTTCACAATGCTATATAAATATTTTTTTACAAAGTCTATTTGACTATTTATGATTTCACATTACCCAGAAAAGAAAACAACTTGCTAGATATTTTATCAGTTGCTGAAATGTATATACTTATAGATGGCGACTATGAGAGAAGAACGTAATTCGATATCTGTCAATTATACACGTCTCAATACGTCCGCTTAGGGAGGAGAAATTTAAATAATTTACAGTCATTTTATGGCATGGGGACATTTTATTACCAGAAAAATGTTTACATCATAACACCCTGCCTTCACTAATTCCTTGCCCGTTGCGCTATTCCTGAACTAGCTAACAGTAAATATCTGGTCGTGCGGTTTGCGCGCTGGACTGTCGTTCGGATTTATCGACGGTCGAGGGTTCAAACCCTTTCCGATCCCATCCTCCGTCGTCCTGCGGGAGATTTGGACTAGGAAGTAAACTATCTTCAACTCTGAAGGAACATCCGAAATATGTAAAACATTTTACAAACATTTTTCCTTTACTGTACCTTAAGAAACAATATGAAAATTCGAGGCCATAGAATTGACTGTGGGGTGCCATAAGGTCAAGGATAATGTTTCGGGCCTTATTTTAACGTAGTCCAAGGAAAGGTAAGCATCGTAGTTGAAACGGGAAAGGAGAACACAACCAAGCAGACGTCAATCTGACTTCCGCCTAGGAGGTTGAACTGCTGATTGTTCCACCTTAGAGTTGGCCTTTAGAATGTATTTATTTTAAAAAGTCAGACAATGCTATAGTATAATAATAATAATATTAGTATTAGTGCCGCTCCCTTTGCTTGTATTGGTCTGATCTGATGGAACTGCATTGTTCAATTTGACCCTATGTGATTTTCTGATTGACGTCAATGCCCTAGAATAAACACACTGCTCTTTTGTCAAAAGAGGGTATTATTTCAGCCCTGTTGCTGCCACAAAAACCTGTTGGTTCCTGTTTTTTATCCTTACGCATTCCTGTTACTGTATCTAAATTCCTGTAAGCCTTCCTGTTTATTCCTTTAACTTCTAGAATTCCTGTTCCGGTTCCTGAATTTTTGTTTCTGGCATTGACAGTTAATACTGCACCTATATACTAGATCATGAAAAATCCATCCCTATGTCGGTGTCTGTAGGAAGGAACCCCCTACTTTAGCGAGCACTGAGTATTAAGTTCTACATCTGAATTCATTTCCCAGCCCCCGCAGCCTGCCTCTTCATTGTTGATTTCACCCCGCAATCGCTGCGTCCATCACACCTTGAGGAAGTACAGCATCGACTGGCCTCTTTAACTCTTTCTCTCCATAATTATTTTTTCCACGTTTCGACGGATTTCTTCATTTCGCTTGTTACCATGTCCCCCTCCCCTGTTAGGATTAAGCTTCAATACCTTTGTCGTTTATTATCAGAAAATGTTTATTTGGTGCAGAATTAAAGGGGTATGCATGCTCTTTTTATATAACACAAAATAAAGTTTATAAAATTAAGCATCAACAATAGTATCGTCAATTAGGAGAGAAAGAGTTAAGCTCAACCAAAATTCTCATCTGGAGCTGGCACCTCCCAACGCTGATACGCTAACGAACTAGAACAGTCTACAGCACCAAGCCAGTTGGATAAGAACCTAAGAGGACAGCAACTAAACGCTTGAACATTGGAGTTAAGTCTTACAAACTATAGGGCACTCTTTTTCTGGTACCATCAGCAG